CGCGGCGGAAGGTTAGGAGATCCGGAATCGTCCGGATCTCGGGGGGTAGTTCGTTCCAGAGGGTGGGGGCACCCACAGAGAAGGCCCTCCCCCTGGGGGTCGCCAGCCGACATTGCTTGGCCGACGGCACCCTGAGGAGGCCCGCTCTGTGGGAGCGTACCGGTCTGTGGGAGGGAATCTGTGGCAGAAGGCGGTCTCGTAGGAAATTATGAGAAAGAATGTATGTATTTAATATTACATGTATTAGCTGCAGCGAGAATTGTATTCGCTCAACATTGGAAAAATGCAGAATTACCAACGGAGGAAGAGTTCATCAAAAAAAATTTCTAGAAATGGACAGATTGACATTGAAAATGAAAGAGAAAGAAGACTCAGTATACTTTAGAACATGGGATACTTTTTATCAATGGCTAGAAAAATGAGGTAGAGAGAAAGGAACTTAATATGTATTAGTAATATGTCTGGAACCCAGACATATTAAGGACTTGTGACTTACAACTGTGGTTGTAAGTCAAGGACTACTTTATTAAAAAGTTTAGCACTTACTCTGTTCAGAATTATATTTTCTATTTCACCTATAAAAAAGTACATTTGTTCACACTGCATGTAAATAACATCAAGTCTGAAATATACCGACTAAAGAAAGACTATTTTGTTTCTCACGGAAAGAGGCCTCAACAAAACAATTATGGTAAAAATGCGTAAAAACAGTTATACGAAGTACCGTTGAATCTACATAAGAACAAACTAATTTTCTTTGGCAAATGGTGATATGGAGATTTAAGTAAAATAAATAAATAAATCAGGAATTCGTAAGATTTGATGCATTTGCAAATATCTAACGTGGTTTGCTCTAATATTCACAGCTCAGTTGACCAGTAGCTTTTCTAATATTTCCAAGGCACAATCAGTTTTTAAATGATTTGAGATCTTAAACCATAAAGGTAATATAACTAGACATGGGAATATCCACCCTGAAACCATCATCAAGAGTGTTGTTACCTTCTTGTTGCTTGTGATTCCTTTTTCGTAATGGGCCAAAGCATTCACATAATCACCCCTAAAATGAAAAGTCGGCAATATTTAGAATATTTAGAATGCGCAGAGATGGACAGATTGACCTTTGAGACTGAAAGAAAAAGAAGAAACGGACTATTATCAAACTTGGGATTTATTTTACCATTGGCTGGAGGAAAGAAGAAAGGATTAGGAATTAAATATGTATTAGCATGTAAACTCAGACAACACGTTGGTTGAAAAAATTACTAATATATGTATGGAAAAATTGAATTAAAAAAAATTTAGAATCTTGTCAAATATTACAAAACGAAGAAGATGTTTAAAGAGGGTCCAGAGGGAGCGTTTTGAAAGCCCCTGGCAATAGCAATAAAACTTGGAAAGTGGTGTTTATGTTAATGTGGTGTTTGTGTAGATTGTGGCTTGAAGTAGGAAGGATGTAACAGACCAAACTATGGACTATTGCATCACATATAAATGTACATCCCTCTCTCTTTTTGGTATAATGCAGGGGTCCCCAATTCCCACCCCGCAGTCCACTACTGGTCCGTGGCCTGTTCGGAACCGGGCGTGTGGGAGGCGGGCCAGCACGCATGCACAGCTCCACTCGCGTGAGTGATGGACCGGCCCACACACGCACGTGTTCTGCTCACACGGCCCGCTCCCCTCTTCTCCCCCCCCAAGCTGGGCCACCAAGCCACAACGGTTGGGGATCGCTGGTATAATGGAGACATATTAAAGGAGCCGGATGTCTGAATACAGCCTCAGCATATCTTCCTGGCATTCGCGGTCGTTACGCACACACGAGATGTGGTACTCACCACCAATGAGGCCTCTGGCTTCCAATGGGATCAATTGGTGGAAATTTTGAGGCTGAATGGCTGTTAGCCTCGATGGCAGAGACCGACAATGAAAAGTCATCTGCTGGGAGACCGGTGTGCTTCCTTATGCTGTTGCTTAGCCGTTTTGAGAACAGACTCTAGATGAAATGGGCCAGGGATCCGGTCCAGTCTCTAAGATAGCGGTCCCCAATCTTTTGGGCACCACGGACCGGTTCTGTGGAGCGAGGTTTTCCCGCGGACCGGAGAGGGTGTGGTTTTGCACACTGCCCGCGGATGGGGCTTGGCTTGTTTGCGCGGCCCGCTTCCCGGCATGCCGTGGACCGGTGCTGGTCCACAAACCAGGGGTTGGGGACCCTGCTCTAAGAAATAGCGCATTTGCAAGAATCGAGAATTGTCTCAGCTTTGACGCCAGAAAGATATTAAACAAATGAGAAAGACTTTCTAATTCGAGGCTCTTTAGAATGGATGCTCATGGTTAATTTCAACCATTTGACTCTTCACATTTGTATTTATCAAATATCTTTAGCCACTTGAGAGAGAACATACGTGAATTCCAGCTGCACAGCATACTCCTTGGATATGAAGGGGATCTGATCCGGGGCCAAACGTTTAGCTAGCTGAAGCGCGCTATCCCATTGCAGCAAATCTCTCCTCATCTAATAGCACAAACAGTACAGGTTTTAACAAATTACAACTACTTTTCCCAAAGTAATGCAGTATATATTTTTTTTAAAAGGGGGGGAAGCCCCCCCCAGTGAAATATCAAGTGGTTTAAGCTTTTACCTCAAGCGCAGCGGTGGGAGAAGAAGATGCCAGGTATAAATCCTGAGCTACATTAAAGTTTTTGGTGAACATGGCCAGATGTCCAGCTAAAAGATTGTGTTCTTCTATGCTCTGAAAAAGAAGACGTGGGCAGCGCTCAAATTTTATCAAAAATTATCTAAAACAAACATAGCTCTATGGTTATATAGAAGTAAAAAAAAACCTGATGAAATAGAGAAACAAGTATCTTGTGTGTGAGATAGATGGCATGGGAAAGAAAGGGAAGGGGAGTAGAGTAGAGTAGAGTAGAGTAGAGTAGAGTAGAGTAGAGTAGAGTAGAGTAGAGTAGAGTAGAGTAGAGTAGAGTAGAGTAGAGTAGAGTAGAGTAGAGTAGAGTAGAGTAGACTGAAAGGTAATTTTTCAAAAGGCAACTGGTTTATTTTTTCTTTGATAAAGATGTGTCACTTCTCATCCAAGAAGCTTCATTGATTCTGGCAGGATGGTGGGGGCTAGAACCGAGAAAGCTTTTTGGATGAGAAGCAAAATATCTTCTTCTTCTTCCTGCTCCTCAAGAAAAAAACAGTCCAGTTGCCTTTTGAAAAATCACCTTTGAGGCAGCTATGGCCTGGAGGTCTGAGAATCGAGGACAGGAGAGGGGAGGGGAGACAGGACAGGAGAGGGGAGGAGAGGAGACGGGAGAGAAGAGGGGAGAGGGGAGGAGAGGAGAGGGGACAGGACGGGAGGAGACAGGACGGGAGGGGAGAGGAGAGACGGGAGGGAAGGGGGAGGGGAGAGGAGATGGGAGAGGAGAGGAGGGGAGGGGAGNCAGGAGAGGGGGCAGGAGGGGAGAGGAGATGTGACAGGAGACAGGAGGGGAGAGAAGACAGGAGGGGAGAGGAGAGATGGGAGGGGAGGGGAGGGAGAGGAGATGGGAGGGGAGAGGAGGGGAGACGGGAGAGAGGAGAGGGGAGGGGAGGGGAGAGGAATTTCTGGCTTGAGTATAAACTAAGGAAATGTGCTGGATGAAAATAAGAATCTGTATCTGATGCAGGTATAACGCAATGAAAATCCGATATATACAGGGAATCCTCAGATTTAGAGACTCAGCATTTTGAGAAGATTTGAGCTTTAGTAGATGGATGTTATTTTCAGCACGTCTCCATTCTAGAATTATTTTTATTGCTAAATGATCTCCTAATGATGTTTTTTCAAAACTTTTTTAAAAAAAACTTTACACTTGGGCTGGGCAGTAGATTAGCACCATCACGTTACCCTACCATTTATGAATTAAAAAAACAAAAAAACAAAACAGAATTGTAATACTTAACCCCAGAAGACCGTACCTTGATTTGCTCCAATGACATAACCATTCCAACGTTTTGGTTGGTCCTGTACACCCGTATCGCAAAGTCCACTTCCATGTGATGAAGGCAGGCCTCGCCGAGCTCGTTCCAACCCAACGGTTGGTTCAGACATTTGCATATCTCCCAAGCTTCTGAAAACCTAGGTTGGGTTAACGTAAAAAAAATAACCGTGGTGCTGAGCCTGCCCTTCACGTATTTGAAAATATCCCATACCGTATTCAAGGGAGGACTCACCTTTTCAAAAGTAAAGTCTGAGTTAGCATTTGCTTCAATTCATCGCAGCCCCGGTCTTTCAGCATGCCCAGGAAGGTGTGAGTATTAAGCAGGATATTGTTGGTTTTCCCGCTGTGAGTCTGACAGGTTAATTCTCCATTGTATAAGAGCAAAGGTTTGTGGGAATAGGGAACTTTGGTCGTTCCTGCCAAGACCACCTTAGAGCCTGTGAGAGAAAATTAAACACATTTGCTGTTCATGTAAGACAGGGGTCTTCAAACTTGGCCCTTTGATGACTTGTGGACTTCAACTCCCAGCATTCCTCAGCCAGCCTCCATTTTGTTTGTTAGAATTAAGATAGGGGGTCTTCAAACTTGGCCCTTTGATGACTTGTGGACTTCAACTCCCAGAATTCCTCAGCCAGCCTCCATTTTGTTTGTTAGATTTAAGACAGGGGTCTTCAAACTTGGCCCTTTCATGACTGGTGGACTTCAACTCCCAGAATTCCTCAGCCAGGCAGGCTGCCTGAGGAATTCTGGGAGTTGAAGTCCAGAAGTCATCAAAGGGCCAAGTTTGAAGACCCCTGATGTAAGATGACATTGGCACTGAAGGACTATATTCCTAAGAAAAAGGGCATAATTTTCAGTTTCTTACAACCAGTCTTTGCAAAACTCTACGTAAACACACACACACACGTACACACCATGTACATGTTCCTTAGTGCCTAACAATCAGTCAGGAATGAAACCCACCTATGCGGAAATGCTGCTCTATTGCTCAATATTATATAGCTACAAGTCCATTCGTGGTTGTTTATAAACCGTGATTTATAATAATGTGTAAACCTAGCGCCGTGGTTTAGCAGGGGGGGAGCAATTAATTTTCCAAGGGGTCGTAGGAGAAACTAGGACTGTTTTGGAGGGCAGTTGAAGTTCCCTTGACACCATCACCCCATCGCCGTTGTGAGCTGGAAAGTCAAAGCGCCAGGGCGTTAAATGCCCTGCTCTGGTTTAACATAATGTGTGAATCATCCTAAGACAGGGGTAGGCAACCTTGGCTCTTTTATGACTTGTGGACTTCAATTCCCAGAATTCCTGAGCCAGCCATGCTGACTTAGGAATTCTGGGAGTTGAAGTCCACAAGTCATAAAAGAGCTAAAGTTGCCTACCCTTGTCCTAAGAGGTGACAAGGCTCACCAAAGGCATTATGGGATTGATTTGGACTCTTTTCTTATAACAAGTTTGATTAGTTTTCCAATTTAACATCCGAGTATTTAGAAAGCATCATGGTGACTGGGTAATCAGTAATTCAGTAACAAAATTTTTAGTACGTATCTCAGATTACATTATCAAAAAATTCCTTCTCCATTTCCCTTAACATTTAATACAACATACTTAAACTAATAAATTCCTAACCATAACAAGCTCAGTTAAAGCATTTATCAATCTATTTTTACTTATACACATCCATGTCCTGTTTTTACATTTTACCTAATTCTTAGTACAGTATTCCAATTTAACCTTTAACATCCATAATATTCAAATTTTGGTAACCCAAATTTATTT